CAAATGCAAGAGACTGAGCTGAGCCTACAAGGATGAATGTGGTCTGGCTCTAACTCTTTTTTTTTTTAATTTTTACTTATTTATGATAGTCACACACAGAGAGAGAGAGAGAGAGAGAGAGAGAGAGAGGCAGAGACACAGGCAGAGGGAGAAGCAGGCTCCATGCACCGGGAGCCCGACGTGGGATTCGATCCCGGGTCTCCAGGATCGCGCCCTGGGCCAAAGGCAGGCGCCAAACCACTGCGCCACCCAGGGATCCCTGGCTCTAACTCTTAAGCAGCTCAGTATTCGTTAGGCCAAAATGGCATAAATACAAATATTCAATGTGTTAAGTATCATGTGAGCATCTCCTCCAAGTAACTTCAGATTTACAGAATTCTTTACTTTTATTCATATCATCCCTACTTCTCTTTCCCACATGCCCCAGGCCCTCTCACCAATCCCACAGTTCCAGGACCACTGGCCGACCTATCTTCCTGCACATTCTGTGCTCTAGCACTCTCGCTGCCTTTTGTTCCTCTGATAAGAGAGTCTCATTAAAGCCCACAGTGTTACTTGTTCCGAACACAAATGATGCTTAGATCTAAATTTTCATCTCCCCTGCCACTCCTTTTTTTTTCTACTCCTCTTTATTAAACACATGAAACACCGGGAGTTTCAGAATCTGCCTCTATCTCCAGAGGTTAACTTTTCTAAACAACCAGCCACACTAACATGAGTGATTTTTCTAAAGTACAAATGTGATTGTAGAACTTCAGTCCTTAAATTTCATGGCTCCTCTAACCTCAGAAGACACACAAGATCCTTTATCTCTGGCCCTTGTGTATCTCACCAGCTTGCTGCCTGCTACCCCCCACCCACCAGATCCTAGAATCCAACCATACTCAACTACTCCTATTCTCTCTCACATCTTGCCTAGATACTCTTCTCTTTCTCAATTGTTTGCTCATCAGAAACTCACTTCAGTCTGTTATAGGACCCTTTATCCTTGCCACTGAAATCAAGTTATGGCCTTCAGGTGGGCACACTCCTACACCACCTTCATGCTTATAAAGCATAGCCCTGGGATGGTTTACTACTGCTAATCTGCCAAATTTATTTATTTATTAAGATTTTATTTATTTATTCATGAGAGACACAGAGAGAGGCAGAGACACAGGCAGAGGGAGAAGCAGGCTCCATGCAGGGAGCCCAACGTGGGACTCAATCCCAGGCCTCCAGGATCAGGCCCTGGACTGAAGGCGGCGCTAAACCGCTGAGCCACCCAGGCTGCTCATAATCTGCTGAATTTAAATAGGGAAGACTAAGGAGGAAGATCTACACACTTCACTCCTTCACCCGAGCTCAGGACACTATGCTTGTGAGGCACCATCAGCCTCTCCCTTCTTAGCCGGAGCAGCAAAAGTCCCTTCTTGGAAACCCTGAAGAGTAAGGACATAAGAATCCCAGGTTTAACGCTTTCTACCATTTCCCCAGTGATCCAAGCCAAGTACTTGGGCATAAATCTAAACTACATCCTCTACCTTCTATCAATCACCAAACCCTAAAGTTTTATCTCCACATATTTCTCCATACATCCTTTTCTCTCCAACTATCCTACCTCAATCCTACATCCAGGCCTCATCATCCTCTGCCAACACTACAGTAACAATTTCCTAACTCTTTCTGATTTGTCTCGTCCCATTTCTAACCTAATCTCCACGCTGCAGCCCGAGTGATCATTCTGCAACTCGGTTCTGATTGTGTCACTCTCTGACAGCCTCCTGTTAACCTCAGGATAAAGGCCAAGCCCTTTACAATGACTTATAGAACCTTTCATGACCTACTTCCTTTCCAGAGTCATCTGCCCCCTTCCCCCTGCCCCACACTCAATCCAGTGATATTGAAATGTCTGTAGTTTCTGACGGTCATCATACCGTTGCAAATCTTCATCCCTTCTTTCACGTGAGTCCTTCTGTCTGAAGGACACTTGAGTCCCCATCTCATCGCTGCTTCCACCTTGAAGACTCTGCTCCAGGCGTTACCTCCGGGAAGCCTTCCCTAACCTCAATGCCCCATTGCTTCCTGTCCTGCTCTCAGGCTGGGAGGTCACTTCTCTTTTGTACTCACTCTGTGAGTCACGCCATCATTGAATTCCCTACCCCACGTCGATATTTATTTTTATGTCCATCTTGGGCAGAGGCCCTGTCCCCAGGAATCAGAGGTTACCAGCACTCAAGGTAAGTTCGTAGACTTAACCTGAGCTCTTTGTTCTTACCAATCATCCATTCCTTAATTTATCTGTGAACTCAATCCTAGTAATTTATTGATGAATTTCATGGGTATGTCCCACCCCACTCATCCACTCTTTTTGCTGAGTAATATCCTGATTTCCTAGATGCCTTCGGCCTGTGTGGAAACCAATCATTTTCCTTCTTCTCTAAAAATTCCAGAGCATGCGAAGAACATTTGTTAACTACTTCCAAATTGTGATTTGTTTTTAAATTCCTCATTTGAATCGTTTTTATATGCTTCTTGTCCTGGTGACATAACTGACTGATTACACTGCATCTTTCATGAGTGTAGACCGACATAAATGATGTGGAGCGACAGCCTAATCCTCCGGAACTGCGAGACTACTGCTCTCTCTTTGCTGGCTTCCATCTGCAGGAAATGCAAATCTCAGAGGCAGCCGTCAGAATTAAATACACTTTGATAAATAATAGCCTAGTAACATCACATTACTTTTACAACAGCTCTTTGAAGTCAGTCGGAGACCGAGCCCGGCTCTTCCTGCCTACTACTGGCTTTAGCAGCTAGGGGCACAGCTTTTTTGCTTTTTTTGTTTTTTTTTTTTTTTAATTCAAGTTAATAAAGAGTCAAGCCTAAAGAGCTTTGCTATAAATCTTACATTTTCCAAAGGAAATCTCAGGAAACGAATGGAAAAACTTAGAGGGTGGGTGGTGGCCTCTCTATGGAAGTTAAAAGCAGAGCAGAGCCCCCCGTCTGGAGAACCTGGGCTCGGGAACTAGAGAATAGTGAAAGATAGGGACTCGGGACTCAGGCTTCTGGCATTGAGGATAGTGAGCAGCAGGGAGGGAGGGGCGGGAGGAGCTAGAAAGGACGCGGCCCCAGAAGGACTCCCCTAGGCTCCTGCTTAGCTCCAGGAGGCCGTCCCGTCCCCGAGCACACGGCTCAACAGAGGCCTGGATATACACACGATTGTACACACGATTGTACAAACAGCAGGCTCTTCTTCCCTCCCCTGCAAAGTTCCATTCTGGATTCTACTCTGGTTCCTTTTTCAAGCAACAAGAATGACTAGTGATAGAAATTTTAAAGGCAAATTTTAAAGGCAAATCATGTGTATTTGGGCTTCTTGCCTAAAAGCTAAAAAACGGAGAAGAGTTTCTTCCTCCATTTTCAGCTTCTATTTGTCTTTCTCTCAGTTCCCAGGCCCCGAAGGCCAGCGACTCCCCTGCTCCTGGACCCCTACAACCCAAAGCTCCTTTCTCAAAATAGAAACCGCAGGAGGTTGTGAGCTGCTCCCTCCCTGGTCATCTGCTTTCCCAAATCCCACACTTCTCAAGTGTCTCCCCAAGCATCCAGCACCCCACCCCCACCCCAGCAAGCTCTTCTTTTCTGTCCTCTCCTCCAAATCTTCTTTCAAATCCAGTCTTCCACTCATAAGCTTTCTACATTATTCATTTCCATGCCATTCTGTCCTTTAGAAATTCTTTGGAAAACTGTAGCAATTTTAGAATATTTTAACACTCCTGTCATGGAGCTGTAGCGCCCTACCCCATTTTCTTTCTTTTTTTTTTAATTTATACATTTATTTTTTATTAGTGTTCAATTTGCCAACATATAGTGTAACACCCAGTGCTCATCCAGTCAAGTGCCCCCCTCAGTGCTCGTCACCCAGTCGCCCCCACCCCCCACCCTCCTCCCCTTCCACCACCCCTTGTTCGTTTCCCAGAGTTAGGAGTCTCTCATGTTCCGTCTCCCTTTCTGATATTTCCCACTCGTTTTTTCTCCTTTCCCCTTTATTCCCTTTCATCATTTTTTATATTCCCCAAATGAATGAGACTGTATAATGTTTGTCCTTCTCCGATTGACTTATTCCTACCCCATTTTCTAACAGGAACATTTGTTTGACACTTCATGTCAGTCATTCTGGATAATTTACTTCTGTCATCTCATTTAACCATTACAGTGCAGTTAAACATTATTCCTACTGGGCAGGAAACTGAGATTCAGAAAGGCTGAGGAATTTGCATTGATCACAAGGTATTAAGCAGGGAACTCAGGAGTCAGTTTGGTCAAGTCTCATGTTCTTTCTTACTTTATGTTTCTTCTCCAAAATAAAATTTAAAAAATACTAATAAAATTATCCAAAGTTATGGAGTCTGGCCCTGACTGACATTTTTTGAAATTCGCTCAAGTGTTTACACCTATAAGGAGAAAGCCTGGGTCACCGGCCCACATTTTCACATTGCTTATAACTCTCAAGCCAGCGGAGCCCTAAGCAACCCTGAGCTTGAGAAAAATGTCAACCAAAATAACCTCTGTCTACTGCTACTGAAGGGAAATCAGGTATCAAGTTGATAGATTTCTGATGTCTAACGCCATTTATATGAACTAATGCTCCATTAGGTATTCAGAGAGTATAAAAAGATCAATGATGACCAGCTGGAGGTTAAATGGCAAATCCAAAGCAATATTTTAAGGGTTGAAGGGAGTGCTTTCTTTCCTCAGATTTAAGAGAAGGAAAAGTACTTCCAATTAGACACGGGCCCCAAGCAAAGCAGGGCGGCTTGTCTCTGCTCAGGGGTGGTGCGTTGCGTGTGTTGGGGGGCAGCTGTCAGTCGCGGGCTAGGATCTGACCGCACCGGGGTCGGTGGGAGGGCTCGTCTAGGCACCTCTGTCTGAGGAAGGCTCGGGCAGAGCCTTGCCCGCTCTTTCGGGAGGTGCTGATTTACTGTGAACTTCATGTAAGACTGTATTATTTTCAACCTCAGAAATATTTACCAAAAAATCAGGGACCACGACCTCCTGGACAAACGGAAAACCGTCACAGCACTGAAGGCAGGAGAGGACCGGGCCATTCTCCTGGGACTGGCCATGATGGTCTGCTCCATCATGATGTACTTTCTGCTGGGAATCACTCTCCTGCGCTCGTACATGCAGAGGTAATGCCTTTGGGTGGTTGGGACGCGGCCGCTGGTCTTCTCCTTGCTCTCCTGTAGCTTATCGGCCCTAAGGTCCTCTTCCTCCACCTTCTTTCCCAATAAGGACTTTGAGCGGTGCCTGGCACATAATATTTTTAATAATGTCATCGAATACTAATGATGGAACTAGTTCTGCGTATACGCTGCCTACTGTGCGCAGGGACCTTCCATACGTGACTTGCTCAATGCTCACGGAGATACTTCACAAGAGAAGTAGGAGATGAGTATACTCATTATCAAAATGGCAACACTGAGGCTCAAGGTAGTGATGATTTGCCTAATATCACACACCTGTAGCATATGGCAGAGATAAGATTCAAACCCACACCCCATTCATTCACCCCACTCCTTCCCCACTCAGTCCCTCTTCTTGTCCCTTGTCACCTCTGTTGTCCAGCATCGTTCCTTTCCTGCCCACGGCCCTCTTCATCACCCCACATATCGGTGGTTCTCTACTGCACGTTTACAGTTCCTGAGAATCGTTAAAAAATACTGATGCCCGGGGCCCCCCACCGTCGACCCCCGAAGGTCGGGTTTGAGGGTCTGCAGTGGGACTGGGTCGCCAGCATCTTTCAAAGTCCCCGCCCCCGGGGACCTGAGTGTGTTATCAAGACCGGGAAACACTGCTGTGCATCAGCTTTCAACCACCGCAGAGTCTGAGCCCTTTCCATTTTGCTATTTGCCCTAAGATCACCGAATAGACAGGGAGGCAGTTAAATACCAGAACCGCGACGGCATCGCCCCTGAGCAAGCCGCGTGAGCCGTGTCACCGCCCCCCGAGCTGACCGCGCCCGGAGCCGGACTCCGAGCAGGGGGGGCCCGGCCCAGCCTCACTAGCGGGAACGTGGCCCGGTGGCTCGGCTTAGGGAGCGAAGCCCTTTCAAATGAGAAGTTGAGACTCTGGTCTGAAAGAGAATCGAACCGTTGTGTGGCGTTCATTTCTCCACCTAAACTAATACTTTCATTTTAGAAGCAAAATCCAGCAGAAATACAGTAATTTTCTAGAACTAAGGCCCCAGCTTTCCTATCTGTGGCCGCTGGCTGGTGGGCTGGGCCGTGGGCCGCGCTCCTCAGCAACGAAGCGCTGGTGCCTCGGGCCTGCGTGCTCACCAGCTCCGAAGCCGCGTGCAGATGCTCACGTCTGCTCAGAACCATCTAGGACTCGTCCCCTTTGTGTAAGCGACACCCGACCATCCGGGCCCCGGAGAACACTTTGCCACCCCAGAGGGTTGGGGCCGGCATCCTCCGTGGGTGCAGCTGGGCCGCAGAGGGAGGCCGACCCGCTGCCGCAGGAGGGCACGTCAGTAGCACAGAGAACACAGTGATGGGCTTGACCCGCAAGTGACACTTTGTCGTGCGTGTGTCACTTTGTAATCATTACTGTTATCCTTGATCATAAAATTACAAGTATTTTGGAACGAAAAACCGGCCAGTGGGCAGCTGGGGGTCAGTTGGGTCTTTTTCAGTCTTTCCAATCAAGGTCCCAGGGGTCGAGGTCCCAGGGCCCTGGCACAGGCCGTCGGGTGCGGGGCAGGGGGCCAGTGGCTGAGGAGCCCGCCTGAGCCACGGGGTGGTCAGCGCAGCTGTCCCCACCGGCCCAGCCCTGGCCTTTCCCGAGCTCTGACCTTCACCTTTTAGGAAAATTAACACCCGACTTGCAAAGTCCGGGAGTGTCTACGGCACAGCGACGGGGATGACAGGCGCTCGGGCCACCTCTTTTGGCCCAGGGAAGGGCGGTGGCCACTCGCTGCCCCGTGGGAGGTGTGGGGAAGTGAGTCGCCACCTGCACCTGTCGGGGCCCCTCGGCTCTGGCCCCCGGGTCCCCGGTCGTCGGTGGCCTGGATGGGAGTAGGAGGCCTGGACGGGTGTAGGAGGCCTGGACGGGTGTGGGACGCCTGGATGGGTGTGAGATGCCCAGATGGGTGTGGGATGCCCAGATGGCTGTGGGAGGCCTGGATGGGTGTGGGGAGGCCTGACGGGCGCGGGGAGGCCGGGACGGGTGTGCAGAGTCCTGGACAGGTGTGGGAGGCCCAGACCGGCATGGGGAGCTGCCCGCAGAGCAAAGGGCGGCTTGTGGGGTCACAGGTGACTTAGTGTAGCAGCCCCTGGTAGCAGGCGCAGTTCGGACCTCCGCGTGGCCCCAGGCCCGTGGCCCACCTGCCAGAGTCGCCTCTGTCCCCCCCCAAGCTGCCCCGCCCAAAGCCGCTGTGCCCGAAGGCACAACCTGGGACACATGGGTCGCTTGGCCAGTCGGGGAGCGTGGGGGTAGGGGGGGCGGCCTCAGACCCACGTGTCTCGTCTCTGCAGCGTGTGGACCGAGGAGTCGCAGTGCACCCTGCTCAATGCCACCATCACCGACACGTTCAACTGCTCCTTCAGCTGCGGGCCCGACTGCTGGAAGCTCTCGCAGTACCCCTGCCTGCAGGTGCACGTCAACCTCACGTCGTCCGGTGAAAGGCTCCTTCTCTACCACACGGAGGAGACCATGAAGGTCAACCAGAAGGTAGGCTGCCTGGCACACCTGCGCCCACCCCCACCCCCCCACCAGCACACCTGCGCCCAGCCCGCCCCACCCACGTGGGCTGCTGGCCCCGCCCCGGGAGGCCTCACTCTGTGCACATGTCGCGTGTCCTAGGCAGGTCGTCCCCCGCGGTGTGGGGCGGGCTGGCCCTGCACCTCCATCCAGAAGCGTAAACACCTGTGGTGCAGACCCAGAGGCTTCCAAGCCAGTGAGCAGCTTGTGCAGGTCATACAAGCCCCCAGGTATGCGCCGTACACCTGAGAGCACCGGGCTGAGGCTTTTGGACACCTCCCTGCTTCCTCGTCACTGTGTCTCAGCCCCGGGGCCATGGGGCCCTGACCTCTGGGCTTCGGCTTCCTCGTCTCCAAGGTGCTTGCAAGGTCCCTGCGGGCCGAGGTGGTGGGCAGGTGCAGAGCAGAGCATGGTGCTGGCCTGGGCGGCCGCAGGCCTGGTCCCCCGCACACACCTGCGTCCCCTGGACACACGCTATGCTCACGGGAGCACGGTTGTCTGGAACCGCGACGTTCACAGCCACGGGCTGGACGCTCAGCGAACACTGGCGAGAGCTGCGGGCCTTGTGGTTGGGGCCCGGCTGACCGGTGGCCCCGGCAGAGCCAGGCTGCGGCGGCGGCTGGCAGGTAAGTCTCTGGAGCTTGCGACTTGGGGTAGCGACGGAGGTGCCCCGAAAGCCCGGTGCTGCCCCCGGGGCCACCGGCCGTTGTCACGAGGCTACGACCCTCGAGAGCCCCTCTCTTCTTCGTAAGAATTTCCTCTCACCACAATCACCAGCGCCTGCACGACACAGGTTACATGCGTGGAAGAAGCGCGGCGGCTGGGCAACGAGATGCTACGACATGGCATTTGCCTTGTGACCCAGTGACGCAGAGGAGGAAACTCCCCTCGCGTGTCGGTCACAACTTGAAGGAAGCCCCCCAGGTCCGTCTGAGGATGGAGGCAATGGCCGTGCCAGGGACCTCGTGGGAAGGTGCCCTGATTTCCGCTCGTCGCCACCGCCCCGGGGGACCCCGATCCTCACCGTGTTCTGCAGACACGGAGCGTGGCTCCCCCACATCTTGCTTTCCGAGATGCCAGAGCTTCACCTCGAAGCCGACCTGGGACGCTGGGCGCCGGGGACACTCGGCAGGCGGCCAGCGCTGAGCAGGCCCGGGGTGGGCGGGTGGTCTCGGTTTCCTCGTTTGGCCATTTGTCACTGCAGCCGTGAGTGCACCGGCCGGCGACAGCGAGCGGGGCCACCGCAGGAGGCCTCGGCCAGGCTCTAGGACAGCATCTGTCTGCCGTCGGGACGGCGCCAGCTCATTGTTGGGTTCATTTGCCCCCTTACGTGGTTTTTACCTGTGAATTAAAACACACGCGTGCACAGAAGCACGCGAGCGAGGGAAGGACGTGCAGCTCAGGCGTTTATTACAGAGCCCACCGGAGGGCAAAGAACTAAAGCGTTTCCTGCAACACAAAACCCCCCTCTTGCCCCCTCCCATTACCCACAGGCTCTGCCCCATATGCCAAAGATGACAGCTGCCCTGACGGTGCAGCAATTACTGTTTTCTCCTTGGTAGTGCTGCCGCCTAAGCATATGTCCTTAAACAGTGTCTTGGAGTTTTGCTTGGTTTGTAAACATCACATAAGTGGAATCACGCAGGACGTTTCCCTTTGTGTCTGGCTCCTTCACACACCCTAAGGGGGCTTAGAGCCATCCCACTTGGTGGCAGTTCATTCATTTTCATTATTGTACGAACGTGCCAATGTGTTCATTCTCTGTTGATGGACATTTTGACTCCTGTAGGGTTTGGGGGTATTACCAGTGATCCTGCCTTGTGTCTCCGTGCACGAGCACACGCATTTCTGTTGGCTGAACACCTGGGAATGAAACAGCTAGACCCCGGGGTGCACCTACCTGGGGGTTTAGCAGATGACACCAGACGGTTCTCCAAACTCCCACACCCCGAAATGAGAGATTTTACCATTTTAAGTCCTTACCCACACTTGGTATCATCTGTGATTGTTATTTTAGCTGATGTAGTGACATTTCCTTGCGATTCTGAGGACTAATGTCACCACCTGACTCTCATTTATGTATTGGCCGTCTGGTTATTCCCTTTTGTACATTGTTCCAGTCCCTCATCCATTTTTCTGTCCGATTGTTTCTTCTTCATATTCATTGTAGGAAGTTTTTTACATAGATATGAACCTCTGCTGGGTATACGTGCTGTAAACACCTTCTCTCCTTCCATGGCCTTTCCACTCTCTTAATGATGTCTTTGAATGAAAGAACTTTCTAATTCCGATACAGCTAGATTTTGTTGATCTTTTTTTGCTATTGTGTAGGTGGTGATGGTTGTTTCAGTTTTTGGGTTTTGGGCTCTTTTTTTCTCACGTGAACAGCCATTTGCCCAAGTCCGCTTATGAAGAGATCTCCCTTTCTTCACTGGATTATTTTTATAATCCCATTCCCCCCCCCCTTTTTTTCTGGGAAGTTATCTGCTGTATTACTATTCTTTTAGGGTTTAGCCTGGAGATTACAACTTGTTTTTACACCTCAGAAACTTTCATTGTCTCCCGGTGAGCTTTAATGCTATTTAGAAATTGGCTCTCCAAAAAAAAAAAAGAAATTGGCTCTCCATGTAATTGCTGCGTCTTTGAAGGTAATCTTGGTTTATTTTAAAGATCATTTTATTTGGTTTTCCACAGTTTAACTGTTATGTGGCAGAGTGGGCATTAATTTTTATTTGCCTGCTTAGTGTTTCCAGGGCTTCTTTGGCTGTTCCTTGATGCTCTTCAACTATTTTGGAAAGTTCTCACTCAGTATTTCATCAAATATCATCTCTGCTCTGATTCACTCCTGTTTCCCCTTTTTGTACTCAAACTGGCCATACGCTAGACTTTCTCTGCATATCTCCTGTGTATCCTACTCTTGCCCTCCCTTTTGTTGTTTTCCTCTTTTTAATCTCTCTGTGCTGCATCCTGCATTCTGATTTATCTTGTAATTTGTAATTCATTCCTCAGCTCTGGCAAATCTACGGTTAAAACCATTGATTGGATTCTTGATTTCTCATCTTGTATTTTTCATTGTCAGAATATTCATTGGAATCTGTTCGACCACTTCTAGTTTTCTGAAATATCCTCATTTTTGTCTTTTAAACCTTTCAACATAAAATGCAAAATTATAGTTATTTTATCTAAAGTTTATCTCAAGGACTTCAATATCCAGAGCTGCTATATGCCTATGTTATTTTATTTTCTCCTCCTGTTTGTTTTCATGTTTGTCTTACAGTATCTGGTTATTTTTCATTAGGTATGGTATTTGCAGACTCATTTATAAAAATAATTTTAAGCCTAGGATGATGTCATCACGCCATCTTTTCCAGAAAGTACTTCCATTTGCTTTGCCAGGTTCCTGAATGTATGAGCCATACATGATCACCTCATGCTGACTTCACAGGCTGAGATACACTCGCCTGAATTGAAGCCCCTTTGAGGACCTACTTCAGGTTGCCATTATTCCTAGGATACAGTCTGTAGGGCCCCAACACAAAGTGGATAGGGGGTCGTCAGGCCCCCTGCCTGACAGGCCCTCAGTGATGGCTCCTGCCCCCAGCCCTCCAAGGCTATCCAAAATGCCATTCTAGGCTCTCAGCCCCCTTCTAGAATCAGCATATACTCCCAAGGCAAAGGCGGCACCAAAGGCGGTTCACCTTCCCGGCCCCGCAGCTCTTCATACCCTGGAAAGTCTTTAATCAGAAATATATATACTGAAAATACAGTTGCCTCCACACCTGAAGGTCATGAAGCCACAATCCTCATGCAACACGAGGCATATCCAGGATATTCCCGGGGGAAGCATAAAAATAATCTCTATGTGGATCTCTCCTTCCTGTTACCCTCCCCCCGGCTCACTAAAAATAACAGTCTTCCCAAGAATTACCAAGAAATGGGCAGAGTTTTTTTAGAGATGCATAAGGCACTACTGACCATGTTTGAGCTCTATGTTTGCAGAAAATATCCAGAAGAGTTTTTATTTTTAAATTCTCCCACTCATATATTCTTCCTTTTTCAGCTTTTAAGCCCAGTGCCCAGCCTCTTGTCAACATTACAACTGGAGCTGCTTAAGCTGATAAGCTGGCAGGCTCTCGTAGAGCGACTGGCTGACCGCTCCAGGGAGCCACCAGCGGGCTCAATGGCCTCGGCCTCTCAAGGCCACAAGGCCATCGGAGGAATCACAAATAGAGGCTGAGTATTAATTCACTGTGGCTGTTAAATTTTTCAATGCTGATCTCCTTTGGGAGGTTAAAACCTATTCTGTCTACCAGGGATTCTCAAAACATGACTATTTGGTCTGAGAGTTGATTTAAAATCAAGTTTGGAAAAAAAGATAATAAAAAAATTAAAAAATGAAGTTTGGTATAAAACAAGAAAATGAAAAAAATAAAATAAAATAAAACAAGAAAATGTACCCAATAAAAAGGGGTTCCGGACCCAATTCCAATGCATCTGGGGCAGGAAGATGGGCTGTTTCTCACACCATGAAGCAAATCTCCAAAACCAGCTTGTTATCCTACAACTCAGCCCAAATCGGATACTGTCCACCCAGAGAAAGCATCAGGTTGCGTACCTTAAGAGCGCGGTCCCTGACTACCCCCACCCGCAGTTCAGATGCCAGGCACAAGCTCTGCTTATCAGAGCTTCCAGAAGCCCCCTCCTTAAGCCCTACTAATTTGCTAGAGTAGCTCACCGCCTCAGAGACACACTTTGCTTATTAGAATCCCAGTTTATTTTAAAATGATAGAACTCAGGAGAGGCCGGATGGAAGAGCCATATAGGGCTAAGTACAGGGAAGGGCACAGATCCCTCTGCACGCAGCCAGTCTCCCCAAATCTCCCTGCATTTACGCACCTGGAAGCTCTCCTAACCCGGTCCTTTGGGTTTTTTATGGAGGCTTCATTATATTGGCTTCATTGATTAAGCCA